GCCGGCGCCTGCGCGCGGGGCGGCGCCCGCGGCACCCGGGAGAGCGCGGCCCGCGCCCCCCGCGGCCCGGCGGCCACAGCGCCCGGGGAGCTCAGCGAGCGCAGAGCCCCGGCAACCGCAGTGCCCACAGAGCGACCCGGGAAACAGCGTCCCACGGAGCACAGCGCCCGGCCCGCCCCGGGCACCGCCATGGCAACGCCGCGCCGCCGAGCGCGGGCCGAGCGGCCCCGGCCGCGTTTGTGCCGGGGGAGGTCGCTCAGAGGCACCTTCACGGCGGGGGCGTTGTGCTGGTGTAATCAGGGGATAACCGGGCACAGGGACAGCCCAGCGCTGAGGGGACTCTGCCGGTAACGCTTGTACTGAGGGAAAGGGAAAAACAAACAAGACACACACGCACACACGCCGCCCCCCAAAACAAAACAAAAACCCAAACAAACAAGCATGGCAAAACAAATCCCAAACAACAAACAAAACAACCAACCAACAAAGCGCCCCACCAAAGAACACTCCAAAAAACGTGCTCCCGCCCCCCCCCCCCCAATAAAGTGCCTTATATGGACCACAAATATGTGATTCTTCTAGTCTCAGGTGGAAAAACTGGTGACTAGGAATTAACTAATTGGGAAAGTCTCCCAGAAGCACAGGCCGTGCTGCTCCAGGAGAAGCAGTCCTGTCCTGAGAGCCACTCAGACTGGGGGTAAGGCTGCCTACCCCCACCAAACACCTAGACCCCATCTCATCAACAGGGACAACACAGAGCAGATGCGAAATCCCAGAGATTCAGGTCCCAGCAGTGCTCTAATACTGGAACAAAACAAATGGGAGACAACAACAGGCCTCAATAATAAAGTCAGAATTTCTTACTCGAGGTTTATCTAAGCTAGCAGCTTAAACGTTTTCTTCATATCTTACATGACTGAGAAACAAACAAAAAAGATTTCATGGCACCTCTGAAGAACAGCAGGTTGTAAATGGCTTGCTCAGCAACACTAAGGGAGGTTCCTTACTCGGTGCAGTTTTACCACATGCTCATTAATACAGCACTAGAGCACTTTCCATAAACAGACTAAGAAGTACCTGTCATATGTTAACTCACTCCCTACAGAGGAAAAGAACAAAAATAAAAATTCATGCACATGAACATGAGTAAGTACAGTCACTTGGATGTTTCTTTAGGCCTCTATTTTTCATATTTCTGTATATTAGAAAAAGTCGAAACTAAAACACATCATCCACAAAGCTTCACTATATTCTTAATCTCATTCCTATATTTATTACCCATACTAATTATTTCTGCCTCTTATGTTATCTTCTATGCTCAGGATTATCACTAATGCAGAAATCAATGCAAAGTCCAAATTGTGTTATCCTCCATAGTCATCATAAGTCAAATTATCACTGTCCACAGTTTACTAAATAAGGTCAAAGTGTTAAGTTCCTCACTCTCCACCATGCATGTATTTCAATACACATCTTGAGCAATATTTGCTCTGACCACAAACACTCAACAAATTTGAAATGCTTTGTCCTGTTAGTTGAAATGCTGAATAAGATGGGTTGAATAAGATGTATCAAAAAGGATGGAGCCCATTTGATGATGCAGTTCTCTGAATCAGACCTAAACCCACAGAAATAAAACTCTTGTAACTGGTCTCATAAACGTGGAACTCTAACTTTAGAAAGAGTTAGGTGCAAGAGACATTGACCTGAAGGTTTACTTGTTTTAACTTAAGTATTTTCTGGTTTTAAAAGTCAGTCTCCACATTCTTACATCTCAGGACATTAAATGCCAACATAATGTACATGGCTCAGATGTAGTGTACACACCATCAGCTCAGGTGTTGAAGTTACAGGTTTAACATGCATTTGCTCCCAACATGATCAGGTGAAACAGGCAGATACTGTTCATGCCACCAAGCACATTTGCTTCCCTTTTAAGGGAAAAAAAAAAATGGTGAACTTACAGCCAGCACTTGCTTCTTTGCATTTTCTTTCTCCCACTGCCAGTGTGTCTCCTCCTTAGCCCTCACTTCCCCACAGTAATTATATAAAATAGGCATATTTGGGCAAGTATAGCAATACACTCAACTGAGGCACTAAAGCTCCTGCACTGCCCTCCTTCCAGCTGCTATAAAACAGTATTTGCAGCTCCTTCCAGCAATGCAATAGGTATCTGTAGGAAAGCACAGACAGCAACTATGCCAGACTGACGCCCCTCAGCATTCCACTAAAGCAGCTGGAAGGAACCTTCTCCCTGTTCCAAGAGTATAGAATTTACACAAAATAATATATATATCTGCATAAAAAATATTTTATTATAAAGACAGAAATCAGTCATAAATGGTATTCAGGAAACACATCGATGTGGAAAATTCAGAAGTCTGCTAAAACTGCTACTGAAAGAAGTGTAGTTGAAATGGTCACAGCTTGGAAAGAATGCTTAACATAACGGAACAGCTTCAAATCCAGTGTTTCAGATTTTCAGGGTAACACAAATGCTAACAAAAAGCAAAAATATGACAACTCTGTATCAAAATCAGATAAAATATATCTAATTATGGTTATTATAATACTATACTTTCCAAAAAAATTAATATATCCAATCCATTACCAATTCTGTAGGTGTTTTGAGTGAAGCACAAAAAATATCTAGTTAACACATACTGAAAAGAAATAAGATTCCTTCTGATGTTCTAAAAAGGCATTTCTGCCAAAGAGTTTCTTTTTTTTCATGTTTATTTGAATTAAGAACCTTGCATTGTTCCTTGAATTAGGTGTCGAATCTTCTCAGCATCTTTTTCTATATTTTTATTTTTAGGATCAATCTTGAGAGCTGCTTCATAATCCTGGAGACCTAATATAGATACATTAATAAGAATGTCAATCAATAATGCAAGAGCATCCTCTTTAGCAACCACCTGGAAGTAATTGTTCCCTAGTCATAAGCATGAAGTACTGATTTTCAGTTTTACTCTTAAGATGATGGAATCAGAATGACATCAGATTTACCTTATATTTTGTTTATATTATTTTACAAACATTTTAGTGGAAACACTCTACTACATAAACTTTTCAGGTTTTAAAACATGAAAGCAGAGTCTCTTCATTTACATATATATACCAATATATATATATGTCTGTGCATGACAGGAGTGTTCTGCAGAAGAGAGGAAACATGAATGACAGAAATGAATGTGTGGAAGTAAGGAAAAGAAGACATGAACTGTGAATACTAGAGCTTGGGGTTAGCAAATAATGAGCACAGGAAGAAAAACCTTATTTAACTGGCTTTTTCACAAGGTTTCCAAGTGCAAATGAAGCTGTAAGGGAATGACAAAGTGATTCATAGATAGAAAAAAGTAAAGAATGGCCAAAGCTTAGCACTTCAACACTGTCATTTTGAATATCCTTCAGTTTCTATTATCAGCTTTCACTCGTAAATTTGCTTTACAAAACTAACTTGATACTCCTGAAGAACTCAGTAGGGACACTGTTAACCTCAGGTATTTTTTCAAGATTTTTCAAGTGGAACTGCAATCAACCAGCAATATTAAAAAAAAAAATAAGGAATGTGGTATCAAGGTTCATAGCAGAGAAATAGATAGTACAGAGTTCCTTCAAAGTCATTCCTGAAAACATAAAGGTGTGAGCAGTCCCATTGAACTAAACAGAATTACTTGCTTGTCACTCTAAATTCATGTGCACACTTTCACAAAATCAAGGCCTCACCTTCAGTATATAATTCCAGCTGACAAAAGGCTGTTCCACGTCTCACATAGGCTTTCACTCGAGCGCCCTCGTTATCAGGAACAGGTGGTGTCAACAGTTCTAGTGCCTTTAGAAATGAGAACACCCAAAGTATTTATAAGAATATTTGCCATAATTTAAGGTTTTTTCTAGTTTACACACACTTCTCTCACCTAATTACTATTATTATACAGTAACATAATAACTATTCAAATAGAAATAACTATTCAAATTCAAACTATACAGCTTGTGAATCTATTCATTAAGATTTGTATCCATCACCCCAGTTTGCTAACTACAGTTACACTGCCATGGCTAAAAACTGACAAATACAGTGTTAAATGTTTATTACAGTCAAATAATGTTCTATTTTCATACACAGTATTACATACCATATTATTAGAAAAAAAAAAAAGACAGCCCTAAAAAAGCACGTGTGTTTTAGTAGTAGTTACTAGGAAAAAACAAAACAACCAAGATTCAAGTACTTATTAGTTCAAAAAATAATAATTCTGGCAAAAATTCCTCCACATTATTCAGGTGCAATTGAGATTCACTCCTCTCATTGCACAAATAATGGCTGCTAAAACATTTAGGTGATACAGCCCTTCTTTCAAAATGCCTGGTTTGTTGGGGTATCCTGCTCATCACCACCACACCTTTATTTTTCCTTACAACAAATGAAGCACACCACAGTGTAATAGAAAGGGTATCTGTGTATATTTTGTTTTGGTGGTTTTTTCTGCTCCAAGTTGCAGGTTTTTCAAGTGTATATATTGCTACAATATTTTTATCTGTAAAGAAACACGTGCTAGTCAACATACGGCCATTTGTCCCAAATGTGTAGAAGCATGATTTAGAGGGTTTTTTATTGTTGTTTTGTTTTAAATTTCTGAAAGTTCATTCACTATCAAATTTCAATATTCCAGCATGGCTTCATTATATCAAGTTTGAATTTTGAAATTCCAAATCGCACTGATATGTATTTACAGATCTGCTTAAAAGAGAAACATCACAGTAATAAACCACATTAATGCATAAGATGACAGTATTTTTTATACCTTAGAGGAGTCTTCAATAGCTTTGTGTAAATTCCTCAGTTTAAGGTGGCAGGCAGCACGATTCAGGTACAGCAGGGGAAGCTTGTTGTTCAGCCTCACTGCAAGGTTATAGGCATTCACAGCTGCCAGATAGTTTCCCATTGCAAACATTTTGCTAAGTGTTAAACAGAAAGTGAAACGTGCACTTTAAAGAAGGTGATGAACACAAAATAAATACCTACTTCTTACCAACAATTCATTTTCAAATATTTGAAGTTTTAGCATCTTTTCCTTGGAAATGCACATTTATAGCCTTTTCTGAGAACATCACAGCTGAAGTTCAGTCCAACTTGATGCAGAGAATACAACTTATAGACACACACTAAAAAGTCACTGCTTCCAAGCAGCAAAGAACTGTAAGAGGTGGACACAGTTTTGCAGACACAGGACTAGTTTTGAAAGCTTTGTGTATCTGATTGTCTAATCAAACCTATCTGTATAACACAGCTATATAAATAAACCAGCATTTTTATAAAATTCCTAAAGTTTGTTTTAGACAGATGTTTCACCTCTCCCTAAAGAGTTCAAATGAAAGGAAATCCACTTAGATATAATAGTGCACTGCCTCAACTGTCTTCAAAGAAGAATATGCATGATGTGTTTACATTGATTTTGTTCACCATGGGCTTCAACAATTGCATCTCACGACTTTATCAGATTCAAACCTCATAAGCTGCCAATAAAATCTCTGTTATGACTTCTATGACTACTCTATAGACATTCACCATCTGTGTTTAGGATATATAGAAAATATCAAAACTAACAGTAGACAAACACCATAATAATTAATTAAGTTTCAATATATCTTCAAGTGGAATCTAACTTACTTTCCTTTGTCCTTTAACCAATCTGGATTCTTCTCCTCTTCTTTTAAATCTTCCAGCTCAGACAAATCAGCATTTATTGTTCTTCGAGCTTCTGCTTGTTTATGTAGCCACTGTAAGTACAAAATGGGCAAGGATTATTTCTGAAGGAAAAATTCAAATCCAAAAATGGATTTTATCTCTTCACTCACTACTATCAAAAGAATTCTATTTGCCACATATTTTGGACAGAGAAAAATATTTAATAATGTCAGATATGAAAAAGTTCAAAGTTTCCCAATTATTTTATTACCATGAAAAGTCAAGTTACTGCTTCACTAATACTTTTTGGTTTACTTGTTTGTTTTTAATCTTCCAAAATTACTTGGTATTCATTCAATTGAGCTTGAAAGAGGTGTGAGCTTCTTTTTAAGACAAAACTGAAAGAATCTTAAATATAAGAGTAAAGATATTTCAAATTTTGTACTTCAAGGAATTAAATTAATATTGTTGCCTTCCCCTCCCCCCAAAAAAGGAACATGCTGTTTATTAACCTGCACTATCACATGGTGAAAATAATTTTTATATAAAATTATTTCTTTATATCTTCATTTAAATACAACTGCCTTCCTTGGAAGATATATTGCACAGGTTACATTCCTTGGCACAGGTACCATTTTTGTCAACTTACTGAATACACAATAAACAATTCATTACTTTACCTCCTCCTCTTCTGCGACACGAGATTCTCGAAGAGCTGTAGGAAAAACTCTTGGGGTAAAGTTGACTTTAATTGTAGCAGCAGATCTAGGAGCTGGTAACTGTTCTTCCTTTACATTTGGTGAAAATATACTACAGGAAGCATGACCTATGAAGAGAATTGGAGTACTGGAAATGAAAAAAATCAAGCAAAAGAGAGTTTTCTGGTTTTCTACCGAAGTCCAAAGTACACCTAATTTAGGAATGCAACACATTAGGATTAAACCTCTAATAACTTGAGAAAGGTTTAGACTTGTTCTTTTGAAGGGAAGGTTCAAACAATGTTTCTTGTTAATGTAACCAGTAAATAAATGGAATGATAGAGCATCTGCCACAAATGAACTTAAACTCCTCTTACATCTCTATCTCTGTCACTTGGATGATGCTCTGACAACCATAAGAGTCTATAAAAGCAAACAAACAAGGAATGAGATATTTTCTGTTGTTTTAGTTCCCTGGATTGGCTCTCCATAGGACCAAGACATGGGATAGACAGAGTGAAAGGAGACTGTATATTTCTATGAAATGCAGCAGTAAGGTAACTTAGGGTAACAGGATCTCCACCCCCAGAAAGTCTGCATTACACCCTCAGAAAGGCTTTCTGGTTTACTTTTCTAAAGCTTAGAACAAAACCTGCTCTTGTATTTCCAAAGACTTAAGTGCTAAGAACTCACATGCTTGAGCTCAATAAAGTTCCTGAAAATAATTTAAAATAACTGCAGACTAATAGAACAGGTTCAGTATGGTGGAGACAAAGATAAATGATGAATTAGAAACATCCAGGAATAAATCATACAACCTTTTGTGGGTTTGGGTCTGCTCTTAGAAGTTCCTTCATTAGGAATTCTAGTTTTGGTCATTTTTTCATTTTTCCTCTCTTTTAACTGCCCTATTTCTTGATGTAATTCCCCTTCTTTTTGCATGCTTTTGTATTTATCAGCATCTTTTTGCTGGTTTTTCCATAACTCCAACTCTTCGGTGACCTTCTGCCGTTCCTTCTCTTTCAGATCTTCAATTCTTTTTCTTTCTGCTTCTTCTAGCTGTTTGAACAATAAACCTCTGAGATCAGATGTTTCATCTGATAATACTAAGATGACTAAGTAAAAGCTACCATTATTTTCCCAGTTTCATATCCAAAGCATAGTGTAACCAATGTGACCATACAAGCAGAATTCACTAAGATGCTTAAAAATGACTGAGAGAGCAAACATTTCGGATTAGCCTTTACAAGTCTCATTCTTTTAACTAATCCTTCTAAACACAAATGAAATGACCAGAATTTTTACATACATAAAAATTTTGAAGAACATGTCTTAAGAGAGACATAAAAAGCAGAATGACAAACATGCAAACACTAAAAAGACAATGAACAGCAAGTCTGTTATAAAATATAACAACGCAACAAATAAATAAGATTCTTTTTTAAAATCAGTATTTTTGACAGTGCTAAATGACTGAACACCTGCACTAATGCAAAGGCCACAAAAGACCACAGTTTTTCTACATGACTGTACTCTCCTTTCAATGGCCAAAAATCTGAGCTCCTCACTAAAAACTTTCTTTAGTATTACTAATGGAAAATGGTAACTTCTAAGTACTTTTCCTGTATCAATTTCATATTTGGTAATAAATGTGTTTTAAGTGCAAAGAAATAACAAGGTTTACCATCACTATAATAAAAATGAGTACTTTTCATATTTTTTAAAGTGCATTTAACCAAGCAGATGCCAGATTAGTTGGCAGTTATTACATGTATGTGTCTTGTAGAGCTCCTTCTAAACCTACCTTCATTGTGGCCTCCAAAGCATATTTTTTGTGTTCCTCTTTTGTAGCTTTTTTTGCTTCTGTCTCCTCTTTTGCCTTTTGTTGGGCTTTTAGAACAGCATTCTCTCTTAGATATTGCAGTTTTTCCTTGTCAGCTTAAAAAAATAAATAAAAACTATTATGATCATTTAGGCCTGGAATTCTACTGGTATGTATCATATTCATAAAAACAGGATTCTTTCTGCTACTGTGTCTGGGAAAACACAAAATGGTTCCAATTCCACAAAGCAGTGTCTATCAAGCCCATCTCCAAAACAGAAAAATTAAGATTTGCTTACACATAAAATATAAGTGTTACAAGAAACATTGTTTTGTTTCATACATGCTAGATTCAGTAGATGTTCTTTGTTCTCACATACTTTCTATTTTTAATAACAAGGTTTAACTGAGCAGATATCTACCAGCAGGAGTTTCACATTACAGTTTGTAAAGTGTTGGCTCAGAATGGGTTTCTTACAGGCAATCTAACTTTCAGAATAGAGAACTTACCATTTTCTAGGGTTAGGGAATCCCACATGGCCGGTTCTTTTTTATACAAAGTGAAGAAAATGTTTCCATTTCCGATCTTTGCTGTGCTATTTGTGTCATCAATAGGAGCATACAAAATGGCTTCAAATAAAAAGGGAGGGACACTTACCTACAAAGATATAATTTGTACTAATATTTATTAATTTCAATTAACTCTCACATATACAAAACACTCAGCACAAGCACACAGTAAATCTCAAGAAAAACATACTATTGACAGAACTAATGTGCTTTGTATCCAGTGTGGAGGTTTGTAGAAGCCCAGGGAAGGTGCTTCCTTCCCCTCGAGGGTGGGTCTTCACAAGGTTATATTTTTATTATTTCAATGTATTTCAATCTCTTTATTAAAGAGATTGAAAAAGTTGGTTCTTCAGCACTCCGACAGAAGCCATGGACCTCATAATTAGAATTATTATTCATAATATAAGCAGATGTGTATAATTCAGTCCATTTATGAGACAGTAAAGGCAGGTGACACCTGTTGAGTAGTAAGAGCATTACTACAGAGAACGAGCAGGGGTAAAGCCATTATCTGTCGCGGGACGGGCATCTAACAGCCTGCAGGAGAGAGAGGGAGATTATAAAGGCTATAAGACTACGAGCTCGAGAGCGTTGCCATGGTGTGTGGCGCGTGTGCTCTTGAGCAGAGCTCTGAAGTACCGCGGCACATCGCGGGCAGCGACACAAGGCCCGTGCGGGAGCGGGGCGCGCCGCCCACCTTCAGATACCGCTCGGAGCAGAAGATGTTGGCGGGGGTGGCCCGGGCGCCGCGCAGGGGCAGCGAGAGGAACACGGCGGTGGGGGTCTGGTGCCAGCGGTGCTCCCGCAGCCACAGCGGCATCGCCGAACGCGGCCCCGGCAGCGCTGCCCTCAGCCGGGCCGGCCCGCGCGGCGCACGCCGGGACATGGAGTCCCGCAGGGCCGGGCACGGCGCGGGCCGCCATCGCTCACACCTGGGCGGAGCGCGGCTCTTAGAGCCGCTGTTAGCCAAATCCGTCTCCAAGAAGAGACGAACTGCTATCAGTTTAGAATTTCTGGTAAAAAAAAAAATATTAAAATTAGAGATTGATTTAGCAATACACAGAGTCAGGTTGGAAGGGACTTCAGTGGTTCATCTGGTCTGACCTCCCTGCTGAGGCAGGGTCATCCCAGAGCACATGGCACAGGATTGTGTCCAGATGGTTCTGGAATATCTCTAGTGAGGGAAACTCCATAGTCTCTCTGGGCAGTCTGTTCCAGTGCTTGGTCACTGCACAGGAAAGGAGTCCTTCCTCATGTTTAGGTCGAACTTTCAAGGCATCAGGTTCTGCCCATTGCCTCTGGTTCTACTGGCTGACAGCCTGGCTCTGTCCTCTTGACACCCTCCCTTCAGATATTTATACACAGCCTCTTGTTGAGGCTGATCAGGCCCAGATCCCTCAGCCTTCCTGTTTAGAGAGATTCTCCAGACCCTTGACCAACTTTGTTGCCCTCCACTGGACCTGCTCCAGGAACTACATGTCTCTCTTGTACTGAGAAGCCCAGAACTGCACACAGTACTCCCACTGTGGCCTCACCAGGGCTCAGCACACAGGCAGGATCACCTTCCTCAACCTACTGGCAATGCTGGCACTGAAACTTCCAGATGTCCCCTAAAAATAACTGGGTCATACCGGCAGCTCCATGCTATTGCCTCCCAATGCTGTCTGCGGTACTGTCTATGCCAAAAACTCAGGAGGTAATTTGCACATTGTTGCTCCACGTTCCTCAAACAAACAGTAACACTGTATCTGCAAAAATAAAGTCTAGTATATAGAAAGTAACTGCTTCTGGGGAATAAGACAAGACAAGCCAAGCACAGTTGGATAAAAATTCAGGTATGTGAAAGTTCTTCAAAAGTATACCATTACCTAGAACTGCCTGGAAAAATCCGGAACCAAAAAGTCTAGTTTTCCCCCTTTCCTTTAAAATATGACCAAGAAAAATGGAGTTTAACATGGCACACATTAGCTAGGATTACTGATGTGTATCACTGAAAACTTAATTTTTATGTTCTATTACCTATATTCCAAAGCAATTAAATGGTAGTGGTCACTTTTAAGTACTGTGTATATCTCTCTCTCTAGAGAGAGAAATATAGATATATAAAAGTAGGTATCACAAATATTTAAAACTTTTTCAGAGCAAGAAATCCATTGTAACTGATACGATTTCTGGGTTATTCTCCACCCTCACTCACCCACATCAATATCATCTGGATGAATGCTTGCATCTGTTGGAATCCAAGAAGTGAATTAAATTCCCCATTCCCTGAGTATTCAAAATATATAGCAGCATTGACTAGAATTGTTATAATGCAATAGTAACTCAAAATCTCCTACCACTCCAGAATGCAGCTGTAGTCATCCAGAACACATCCTTCAGTTATGCAAAGTTCATTCATCGACTGTAAGTCTTAGATTTTTTGAGTGCTGGTCTTCTGCCTTGGTCACCCAGGTGTCATTTTTAGTTTAATCACAGAGAATATACTGAAATGAAGCAGCTTATTATTTATTCGTGCTAGAAGGACTATACTATTCATACATGCTTTACAAGACAGGACATGGTTATGGTTACCAGTATTTGGTCTTCTTAAGTTACACAAAAGAGCTCCAATAGAGCAACAAAAAGTCTATTTACTTAAAAGCCAGGTCTCCAGTGCAAAGCTTGTAGAAGACACAGCAAATACCACTAACACACTTTTATGCCAAAGTAGCAGATTTAGCTGCTAAAAGAGACAAAAGGGATTCAGCAAGGTCTTGAATCAACCTTAGAAGTCTTTTATTGATGTATATCTACAGAAACACCTCCTCTGTCCCACACACTCCACACTGCAGGCTTACCTGGACAAATGGCTGCGCTCTCACCATGACACACATGCAAAGAGAGGCCCATTCAGGATCGTTCTTCTGTTGGCATTAATCTTATCAGTCAGAAGTTTGTAGTGAAAAGTTTCCAGTGCAAGAAACTTCATAGTGAAAAGAAAAATTATTCAGTTAAAAACCTAATTCCTAAATTCCTGTCTCCTGTGCTATGAAGGATAGAGATGTACATTCCACACAAATCTTAATAATATTAGTAATATTCTGGACCTTCCAGCTGCTAATACACACATCCATCTTTTCCGGGGTTATTTCACTTCTAATGGCATCAGAGGCTTTAATATATGGGGGAAAAAATCCTTTAAATAGCTTACATTTTCTTATCTTTAATTATTAACCTTTTTTCCTCCCATCCTTTCTAAATTCTCTCTCTTATCCCTCCCTATCTTTCACAAAAGAAGGAACATTTTATGAGACTGTTTATTACAATAAAATGTTTTACATATGTAGCTTGGGACCACCTGTATCAGTTGCTTTTAAATAGTATTGGCAAGGCAGTGATTTGGTATGTGTTAGTTCTGGCATTTTAACTAAGAGGAAGAGTTTTGTAATAAATTTATAAATTGGAATAAATAATTCTTTGATTAATCTCTTCCCAAGAACAGAAAGTTATTTAAAAAAAATAAATCTGTTCAGACAAATGGTGCTCAAGCCTTCCCTCCCATCCTGTAAAGAAAGAAATGAGGCTGAAGGTGCAAGACCTCTTCTAATCTGCTTTGAAGTTACTTCAGATTAACACCTTTACAGAACAGCAGGGCTCTCCAAGAGAGGCAGGAACTGTCTTTTCTGATCAGTATGACCTCATACTGTTTCTTGCAGGATTACACCTAATCCAAATGCATTTTGCCAGGCAAAACAGTAGAAGAGTCAATCTAGGCATTACATCATCTTCAGAAAAATCAACAGGCAACTTCCCCGCAAAAATTAGCTTTATTTTAAAAGGAACTGAAACCAGACAACAGAAAGCAACAAAGTTACATACAGTGCCAGACAAAATCTACCATATACATTTTCCAAGAACACTTGAATCAGATTCTGATACATGTTCTTCTGAAAGGTAAAAATGTCACATCATTATTAACAAACAAAAAAAAAATTAAATGTCAACAATCTTAATCATCTTATATTTTGCATTGTTTGGATGGCAGTAGATTGGTAACTTGCCTTTTTCAACTCACCTTTAACACTGAAAGGACAATGTGGACAAAAAAATTCCAAGTCAGAAGGCCCTGAAGAACAGAGTATTTGCTCTAAAGGCCACATGAAAAAGCTTGGAGGAAAGGCCATCTTTTAAATAAAAATCCCTAAAACTCTCTTATTTCACGCTTCAGAAGAAAAAACTATCAAGAAAGGAAAAAAAAAAAGAGGAAATATATTATAAGCTTGCCCTCCTTAAGTTATATGGAAGTTCAGATTTAGAGCATCCTGCAGAGCAGAAGATGAGAGTCTCGGAACAGACACGACATCTCTCAGGACTCCAATCCCAAACTGCCTCCAGTACAGCAATTCCTGAAATACAGTGCACACATCTCCAAGTAAAAAGGTGGGGTAGGATCAAAAACTATTTTGAGACAGACAGTTTGTTTGAAGATGAAAAGGAAAATTAATCATGTATGGCAAACAATACAGAAATAGGTATTCCCAAGGTGTTGGGATAAACCATTTCTGAACCAGGAGATGAAGGGCAACACTGAATACTTTAAGTTATAGGCAGCACCTCTAAGGGGCTGAACACCATTCAGAATTAATTACCTCAGAATGATGACACACAACATTAGGCCACTAAAGCGACCCTTTTTTATATATAAAGCAAGAAATTCAGAGGAGCTCCATATAAAGAAGTGAATGTGCATAACTCAAGATGTAGTGTAGGATAGTTATATTGCCTTAAAGAGTTCTGCTAAGTACACTTAGTTTCCAATTTTAAGGAAGAGTCTATTCTAATATAGAAAGCTTCAGACAAAACTTAGCAATTGCAGAATAATTTGAAAATACATCCAGTTCTACACCCTCCTGTATATATCTAATCACATCCAATAGATTAAAAAATTATATGTTTTGTAAACCAAGTAAAGAGTGTTAGAATAGAATTTTCACACCCATGAGCTGATTACCAAATATTCACCCATTTGTCAGTGGATAATATTAAAAAATTCATACTTACAGTTATGGTAACAAGATGACAATGCACACCAGTGCTGTGTGTTCTGAAAGGTACTTAGTTTTAATTATCATGAATTGCTATCACCTATCAAACCTCATTCTATGCAAGATACCACACCAGCTACCAATCCATAAACAATAATGTTTCACATACTTCATAGAGTAGCTTAAAACACATCATGGTATGAAATAATTTGTATTACATAGTAATTTAATCCCTGGCCACAGGGCTAATGCTGGACAAAGTCTGGAAACTTTTCCAATTTGAATTACATACATTAACTTTGCCACACACCACAGCACTAATGCATGTATTACATCAGACATGCTCTAATTTAAAATCAAAACAAAAGAGTTGCTGCAAAAATACATGTCACCAATGTGGAACACATTCAAGATTGTATAAAAAGTACTGAACTGATATCCCAAAACAGGTATATTTAAGCAGTACATAAGGAAAGATTAGTTTTAATATGAAACAGTCATTTAAGTCACATACAACATGATAAGAAGCATGACTTTCCTTTTTAAAAATGTTACACCAATACTTTTACTGCCAGGCAATGTTTATTTATAAAATGAAAGGGATGTACTTAATGCAGATAATGTGTTATCGTATTAAGCTGCAATAAAGACAAATGTTAAAAAGGTGCTACATTTGAACATCACTGATTTTGTAAAAATTCAAACCATAAAAGCATTTCACTTGCAAACATCACAGGCCCCAAACTGCAAACACTTTGAAACATTCTTGACTGTGTGCATGCAGCTCCACGGACTTCATTAATTCTCACATGCTTGAAATTAAGCCTGAAAAAATGTGATTACAAAACTGGTTCTTAGATTAAAAACTTCAGAGGTCACAAAGTATAATCTTCTTTGAGCAGCCCCTAAAAGTTATATTTTTGTTTTAAGTAGAGCAAACTTCATTACTTTTCTCTAGTTTCTTGCATCTGAAGATCTCAGATAATAACTAGGCCTCTAAACAACCTCGGGAAGTAAGGATTAGTCTAATCTGCTGCAAGAGGAGACTGAGGCAGGCATAGTTAACCTGCTTGTCTCGAGTTGTAGAAAGGGTCAGTAAAAGAGCAAGAAACAGGATTTTTGGTATCTTATATACAGCACTGTCACTTACCCTGACCAATAAAACAAATGTTTTAAAGAGAAAAGTACATGTTTTCTCATTTACAAGTGATCACTTGCAAAAAAACTTAAAGTACTAAGGACAATACAATCCAGTTTATACTTATTTATTTCAGCCCAGGGGGAAAAAAAAAACAACAAAAACATTTTGGGCAATATAGGCTGCATTTCTGACCACAACAAGGAACTATTTAAAAGGGACATGGGCACTTTCCATAAAAATGTTAAGGTTTGCAAGACTTACAAAATCTTTGCAATATTTTTGGTGTGCAGCACCAGTACAGTCTAAATCACTAGTAATGAAAGAAGCACATGATAGTTCAATACAAATTGTTTCATGTAGAATATTACAAAAACCCTCACCTACTCTAGTCAACCCTCCCTCCCTCCCACCCTTCTATAACTAACTTCTAATTCTAATCAGCTGTCATTTTCCTAGGACCTTACTAATTAAACATGATTGCTGTTTTTCCTGTGCATACTTGAACTACTACTAGTCAATACATGCAGAGAAAAACAAAATATAACCCTCTCTCTAGATAAAGAGTTCAAGTATGCCAAGAGTGTATCAGTAGGGCGAGCATATCAGCTGGATGACTTTTGGAGATCTTCGTCAGTCATATCTCTATAATCAGTGTGCTAACAAGTTTGGGTTTTGTTGTTCACTTGCTTTTATTTGATATACTTGACATTTGCTAATGCCTTGAATTTGCAGGTTAATGAATGCAGAAAATTTACTGGGTTACAAACCCAACATAGTACCAGTTTGGAAAAACCAAAATAAATTGTTAGAATAAGTTTCACAAATACACAGTTTAAGGCCTTATGAAACGATATTCCAGTTGACTTTAAGTTTTTAAGAACACTAATGCCTTGACAGCTAATCTAGAAAATATTTTACTAATTTCATGTAGGGTCAAGGAAGAAATTAAGAAATACACAGCTATTTTAAATAAGATGTCTGCTTCAAAATATTAAACCATTAATTGGACTTCTGAGAAAAAATGCCCCAAAAATCTTCTCACAACAGGCATGGGCTGTGGGAATGGGAAAGGTAACAATATCATCATTGGTTTTGTTGAATTTTCACTGAGCACATTTTTTATTTCATTTATGTTGCTGTAGGTGTGAACCAGCTCCACTACCTTCACAGTGCAAATTTTTGCAGAGATTAAACTGATTCCCAGAGGAACAAATCTATCTAAACAAGGTTTGGTTTAATTGCTACTTTAGGTACCAAAAGCAAATTCTTAACAGTCTGTCAGTCATTAGGAAAACTACTGAAGAATAAATCTCTTTAACAGAGGTTGTTGCTTGGTTGGTTTTTTTGTTGTTTGTTTTGAAATATCACACCTCTAACAAAACAAGATTAAGTCTGGTTTCTGTACTAAATTAAAGCAACTGGTGATGAAAACAGAAGCCCTTGATCTGCCTTACAGTTTCTTTACATCTCCATACAGGAAATCCTCAAGATATGAAATATGTCACTTACACTTCAGACATTATTTTCTTTTTCCTGATGAGAGGCAAGAAAAAAAAAAAGGGCACTACTGCACTTACCCAGCAAAAATTTTCACTTTTAAAATAAAACAAGAAAAGTTATGCAGGTCTGCACAGTATCTTCTGGGAATGTACCACAGTAGAGCCCATTTAAAAATCAAACACAATGGTGAACTAGCAAACAGGCCTTACTTTTCACTCATTAGCATAGCTTATCATAAAAACTACCTCTTTACTTTTATGACTGTATTTTATATCAGCTCCTACGTCGCTCATGCTCACAGACTTGAAAAATTTATCACATTAAGGAACGTGACTGGCACCTGTAAGCTTGACATATGATTTAATTCCTGTTTAAAGGCTTTTTCCAGCACAGTGGTGAGTATTACAGGCAGAGTCTGTTATTACAATGCCTCCTTTTATTAAGTCAGAACAACACTTCTCTCTAAAGAAACACTTCTTCAGTTGCATATACTAAGGCTGAACTGTTCAAGGCTAGATGTTTCACCACATTAAAAAAAGGAGAGTTATTTTTGAGATCAAGAATTAGATCAAATTACTTATATTAAAATAGAATTCTTAGCATCACACATGAAGCTCTAGTGCCATTCATACTTGTCAGCAGGATATCAGGTTTAGCAAAGAAGCTTAAACTTCTGATTACTTACTCCTGAGCTAAACTCACCTGATATGAAAGCTCTATTTTTTTCCTTCACCCTAGATTTCCCACCCCCTCAGTGCAAGACTGGCTGAGGCAGTGGTGGGAATTTAGTTTTAAGTCTGTGCTGGCCAAATTATCATGCAATTCAGAGCCTGTGCAGAGCACACTCCGTTGCCTTGCACCCTCCCTCGTGCCAAGTGGACTGTGTAAGCTCTGGGTGACTGAGCAGGTTCCAGCCGAAAGCCCTGGAAGAGGGGCAGGATTTTCCATGCACTACTTCATTCACAATTCTTAGGCAGCACTGAGGCAGGAGACTGGAACCACCAGTGAGGAAGGATGAGAGAGAGGTGCATAACTGCACAACCATGACACGTGCAGACACTGTATCCTAATGTATGTGCTCAAGATAAATGAATTGAGGTTACATATGCAACCCTAGTTTTGGCATTCTCTAGATTTAAAGCACTGGACTTTATAAACTTGATCTGTTCTTTTTCCAATTTAATCATATTTCGTAACTATTTCCAAATACTGCAAGACCCAGCAAGAGCCTTCAGCAACTAAATGTTTGCTGAGAAGTCAAAAGAGATTATTGCCTTTTCAAGGAAATAGAAATGTGTAAGAGTTAGCGGGTTTCATTGTGCTACTAAGTATGAATTCATCAATTTTTGAATAGCATGTTAATGCTTTACTTCAGAAAATAGGAAAAAGCACATACAAAATTCTCTGTATTTACCCTAAAATAACAACTATTAGTACTGCACATTCCTCCATGTCATCTCCACTATATTCAAAGAAAGGCTAGCAAGAACATCACCATACATTCATGCCAAAAAAAAAAAAAAAAAAGTAATGAGTACTTGCAAATATAGTACCATTAAAACCGAGCACTAAATGCTAGTGTTAGTTAACACATTAATACTAGCAAATTAGGGCTATTCATACAGGCACATTTTTCCTTCAATAAAATTGTCAATGCACATTCTACTTCTGATCAATTGTCAGTTACAGTTCAATCAGAAACAAAAATATTCCATCCTGTGAAACATTCGCACACATAAAACTAAGAATCCAAAAGCTGAGATGGAACTTTATGAATGAAAACAGATTAGGGGAAAAATAAGATGACAGCAATCAAACACAACTGATTGTCTGCAGAAAGTGAAGTAGCCGATTCGTAACCAAAACTTCATAGAAAGTATTTCATCCACCACCACCACCAATTGAGGCTGTCAGCCTTCCGTGTTCAGTGCAGGTGGTCCTGCAGTCTCTCTCGTGCGCATCAACTGGACATCTTTGTCAGCCATGCAAGTATCACAGCCCCAAACCGCCGATGCTTCTGCCGTGAGAAGGCCGTACGCTGACTCCGTCATGCCCGTGCAGATCCGATGAAACCATTTCTGACAAGAGGCTTCACACAGGATGGCATCCTGGTCATCATTAACTTCATGGGTACAGATCCCACATGGATAGACAGGTTCAGAGGATGAGTGACCATGGCGACTGGGATGAAGGGGCGTTTTGCTGCTCTTTTCAGAGTTGCATCCTTCAGCAGCACCTCGGGGCTGGCGGGACTTACTCTGAGTCCCGTTGGAATGCCCAGCATTGGTGTTATCAGCACTGTTGGAATGGCTATTATCCTGATTTACCACATTGTTTCGAGTAACATTTTTTAGGTCACTGTTACCTTGACTCACAATGTCCTCTGTCCTGTGATGATGCTGATGAGCAGCAGTGTTCTGGCTGGATGCTTTGCTTGCACCTTGATTAAAGTCCTGCTTCTGTGCTGATGATTTTGTCTGGTTGTATGTGTTTGGTGGAGGAACAAAAGAATGGTTTGACTCTAGCTGAGAATTTGGAAAATTTGGATTGTTTCCAGGACCAAAATTGGATGGCACGTCAGGGTGAGGTATCTGACCAGAATGGCCAAAGTTCTCCCCAGGATTTGGCCTGAAATGCTGAGCAGGCATACTGACATTTTGATTTATCTGACCACCACTATAAGGGGGCTGATTCCCAAAACCTGGGTTATCATGTGGACCAAAGCTGAAAGAGTGAGGTCGACTAAAACCCATGCCCACAGGGTTTTGAGGAAGAGGATGTGGTTGGTTTCTGAGGGAGTAAGAACCACCGTATGGCGAAGACACTCTGGGCAGCATGTGAGGTGGCATTCTGAAAGTGTTATAGCCTCCAAAGCCAGGATAACCAGGATTACTAAAATATGGATTTCCTGAAGGAAGCGGTTTATAAGACACAGTATTATAGTTGTCATCAAATGGATTTGCAGCTACAAGGTGGTCAGAGCTTGGATTCGGCGGTGGAGCATATTCAGATGGAGGAGGAAATGATGATCCCTACAAATATTTTAAATACAACATTTAAATTAGTTTTAGTATTTGCCTGCAAGACAGACCAACCACAAAGGTCCTGGATTACCAATACTACTGCTGAAAGAACTGTTCAGCTGTTGTGTAAAACTCACCCACTGTATTCTGCCAGGCTGTCTGAAATTTCAGTACAGAGGCAAGAGAGGAGTCTGTGCTCCAGATAATATGATGATTTATAGTAGTCTGTGTTTTAAAAATTTTGCAGTTGCACAACCGTGCTTCTGAAAATACTACTTGATATGTGACTTCTATTTCTTAACCTTTTACAAAAGACAAGCAACAATACAGAAAGCCAAGTGCCACAAACACATGCACAAAGTATTTCCAAATGTCGAAGAGCAGATTTAAGCATTTCCTTAAGTCTCCTTTTGGGTTGATGTTACTGAATATACACTTCTTAAGACACCCTACTTCTACGAGGATATAAACCTAATGTTACTATAAACCTAAAAAAGGCATATAGAATATAGCAGTAAGCAGATTGGTATTTTCTATACTCTGCAGAATATTCTACACTCTGTAGATTTCTGGACAAAAAAAGAGGCCTTCAGTGATTGTGGACAGTCTGCAAAGCATAGTCAGTAGGCATAAAATACAAGGATTATGCTCTGGTTACAGTGTTTAACAGAGCCCAGAAGCTGTTCAAATGTCACCAAAGTGGCTATACAATTGAAATTCATTCTAGACTAGCCTGTAGGGAACATCTACTGTGTTCACCCTACATTAACTGTGCTCACAGAAAGCATTTCCTCTTAAGTACTAATAAACTAAGATTGAGCATTTATTTAAAAAAAACCAAAAAGGTAAAATTTGCTGCACAGTAAATGCAGTAAGGTACACTGCATTTTCTTACACCAGGTAAGAAAAAAACCAGAAGCTAGTCTGCATAGCCTCTGGAGTTATTATCATTCCAGAATACAAGGAAAGCTCCACCATGAGAGAAGTCTGAAACCTTTTAGAGTAACTGAATATTTCTCAGAGCAGGTTTCACCATGACTACTTTAAAACAAAACAAAAATTAAGAGAACAGATCCACATCTCAATGGACTGTGGATAAGCCTAACAGAAAGTGATTGTTTGACCTATGTAAGTAAGGTTACTCTCACTGGGTAGTACCAAACTAACAGATACTCTCACTGAAAGGTGAATGAACACACAATGGGAAATTCTGCACTACAAGTATCCAACTGCTTAAGATGTTTTGTATTCAGGTTTTCTTTTCTAGGAAGAAAAACTGCATAGAAATGTCAAATTGCAGGGAGTCACTGGAAAGGAGCTATACTTGCTTTTGCTTGAAAATAACTTCAGAAGTATGCCAAGAATTTAGTCAAAGCATTAATGAACTGTTCTGATTCATTAGCCCACAAACTTACACATAATGAAATGAAAGTAAAGAGAGAAGTAGTCTCATGGCAACTACTCATGGCAACTTCTACAAATGGCTACAAAGTCATTAAAAAAAAGGTCTGTCTCAGAATCAAATCCATATGGTAAAAATTCAAGTCACTGCAGTCACTCTGTGCTCCTGTCTTTATAGGTCTGTGGCAACCTACAGAGATTAAAATAACTTTAGTGCCAATAACTAGTATTAGGAATATTTTGTACACAGCTGCTATTTGTGACAACAGACTGATACTCTGAACAATGCGAGACAGTCACACCAGCAGACAACATTTGAGTGCTCGATTTATTAAGAAATCAAAAGAGAATTTACCTGTGTGTTTCCTTTGCGTTTTTTCTTATCAGGGCTTCCAAGTTGAACTCCTGGTCCTCCTAACCCATCCAATCCACTGTCACCACCTACAAAATTTCAATCAGTGCAATAGTGCATTAGTTTTCTTACAGACCACATTGCAAGTTTGCCTCTGACCGCCATAGCCACAGATATTTGTTACAAATACTGAACTTGCATTAATTCTGCTGCTTTACATTGTAAGTCCTTAAGGAGCAAACATCTGGACATAAGTTAACATACCTCCTACGTGCTCTCTTACTCTACTGCCACTTTAACAGCCAATTCATGCTCATTACCGTTGGAATAAACATTTCCATTTATTTTATGTTTATCTGTCCCTTGGTTCTTCACAACTCCACTTCAACAGTCAGAAGTATTTCTTGTTTGCATAACTCATAAAACTTTCAAAGGAATTGCATAAAGCCATGCCTAAGATTCACCTCTTATTTAACTTACACAGACACAGCATTTATCAAACTCACTGTGGCAACAGACAACAGTGTGTTACAATCCACCGTGAAGGAAAAGCAAACAGTAGTAGATTCATGAACGAAAACCACTGAAAACCTGCCGTGTTGTTTAGAGAGATCTCCAGTTTATCAGATCTAAATTTCACTTGATCCAACAAAAAGACACCTGCCAAAAATGAGAGGTGCTCTAAGTGAATCTGCCCTACTCTGCAGAAACCTCACAGAATAACTGAGCAAGGCACTGGCACAAAAAGAAATAAAAATGTTCATTTCATTGGTCACTCAATCAGACTTTACCCTGAGCAGTACAAAGAGATATCTGTACTTCACTTGGGATTCTTCTTCACCTTTCATAACAGCAGGACAAGCTCTCAAAGTTGTATAAATCATGGCTTTCATTTTTAAAGCCCTAGTCAGACTGAAGATGAAAAAAAGAATAAAAAATCTAGCATACTCATTATCCCAGTCAGTCTGTCTTCATGGGGCTCAAGTGAAATTGCCATCATTTGGGAATGCAAAAAAAACCCTGAGCTGAAGTACAAAAAGCATTATTGGGTGATATGACAGCAACACATGTTACAGTAATAACATCATTATATTAATAAATTATGTTAATTTTTTTTCCCAGGGCCATTAATATAATAGCTTTTTTTCTCTTTTATATAAATATATAGTTAACAGTATAGAAGAATAAGCAGGCAATCCAACTTAAAAATCTTACTGTTTTTTGTTTACAACTCATATTCAGAATACAAGTCAAACTTTATCAAGATGCAAGCACACAGCCGAACACACAGATCTTTATTACCAAAAGCAACCTGAAGATAACTGTGAATTACCAACAGAATTATGCAAAGCAGCATACAACATTACACTGCTCTATGTTAGACAAGTGTTCCCAGCAGACAGGTAAACCAGCTTTAGGACTATTCAGTAAGTGACAAAAAAATCTCTTCTCACAGGGGCAAAGCAGACTTACTGTATACAGAATGAAATATCCAACAGTTATTTCAAATACTCCTGATCAAAGGAGGCCCAGCAAATTTTCACTCCTTGCACTTCCTTTCTCCCTGCCTCCTTTTTTTTTGAGGTTTCATGGAATTTACCAGTCCTACCTCAAGTCACAATCCATCTCTACCTCTGCTTTATTAAGTTCCTTTTAGCTTTAGCTGTCACTGTTGAAATTTAATTTCATTTTTCATTATACATAAGGAAGATATATGGACATCCCAGGTCAACACCTATCAAATTTTAAGTCTGAATTTCAAAGACAAGGGCACAAAGTCACCATCAGGTTCTCAAAATAAACTCACACTCGCACATAGCATATTGTGGTCTAACCTGCCATCAGAAAAACTAGGGATTACTCTTTCAAAGAGTCCTTTTTGCCTTGTTTTAGACTATAAAATCCTGTGTATACTTAGTGTGCTATGACAGATTGCCACTGCATTACCTGTAGATATTAAATAATCACAGCATAAATTTTTACATGAAGAATGATGGCAAATTTCCCCTAAATTTCAACTCTATAAGTCATCTTGATAATCTACTTTCTCAAAACTGTACCTGCACTGTCCTTAAGCTTCTTCTGCAGCATTCATATAAGTTTACACTAAATTCAGTGCAAGATTGTACTGTGAACACCAATCCTCACAACTACATAAAACACACTCCTGTTCGTGGCCCCACACTTTTAATGCATCAACAACTTTAACCACTGTTAGCAAAATATTACAAATATCCAGATTTCTTTTAATAAAGTCAACAACTAGCAGCACAGACATTAGGAAATCTGTGATCAAGTAGGAAACTGAGGATCATTTGCAAATGCTGGTTTACAGTAGCATAAGTTAAAACTTTATAGAATTATGTATAAATTTCCCTCTCAAGGATATCATTCGTCAAAAACATAAGTATATGAATATTAGAATTCCAGTGACAAGTTCCATTAGCTTCTACCTGAATTACTTACATGGGTGAAGCCATTCATTTGCCTACGTTTACAGAAGTGAGTCCTGCATCTGGAAAGGCACAAAGCTTTTGTATTTTCAGTTCTCACCGTGTGAGGCCACTGATTTGATTCAGCCCTAAGAATTTATATTTTCCCTGTGGATTCTATAATGATTTAATTTATACATGAAAGGAAACAGAATGTTAGTCCTAGCATACCTCCAAAAAAGAGTGAATAAAGCTCATTTTCATGCAGCCAAAATAAACTTTCCACAAAGTCACTTTTGGTATCTACCACATAGACTTTCATTAAAGGTGTACTGAGCACTTTGGAATGCTGCACAAATGAAAAATTATTTCATTGTCCGAGACTAGTTTTTCAGGCAAAAATACAATCCATTTGACTGGGACATCAAATATCTAACAGATCCAGAGATATAAATTCATATCTGATAACTGTGCCTGTTTTAACTACAGATCAAATTTATTTCAGCCATTAACATTTGGGCAAAGGAGAAGAGGTAAGCCCTGTACTCTTTTTCACTTCATACATGCACAAGATGGACATCTTCAGTGTTAGTCAGAACTGCAACTTGTAGTTTTGTTTACATATTAAGAGTTTATGACTTTGCATGTAATTTATGCCATACTTAATATGCTGCAAATACACTACGGAGTATTTTCATACTCACTGACAAATCCCTGTCTAGGTTTCTACAGGATGGATGCCAGAGTCTTTTTAAACAGTGATTTATCTCAGTAAGAACGTTTTCCCAAGAAACATAAATGGCTGAATAAACTTTTCATGATGGACAGAAGAACTAAAAATAGTCTAATTTCACCCAGATTTGGTGAGCCTATGCTGTGGCCCTGACACTGTAAACGGATTCGATATTAAGCGGTAGTTGCGTGGAACTTGGTGGGTAACCCAGGCATGTGAAACCATATATGCTTAAATATTTGCAGAATCAGGGCTTGAGAGTGGAGGAGTCTAATGAATCCCAGTCTCCTTTGTAACGCTGTTGTGTGCTTTCATTCCCTCAAGGTTGCAACCCAGCTGTTACTAGAACAGTTTTAGAAAAGCAAACTGTAAATCAGTGACAATATGCATATCGGAATCTGCACCTTTCTCCACTTACCCAACCAGGAAAAAAAGCTCAAAACATCAGGAACAATAGAATGCCAGAGGCAAAATAGGAGGCGAGAAAAACAGAAGCACTAAATGGCAGATTTTATAATTTTGCTCTGATTTTCACCCAACTCAGTCACCCAGCCTGCCGCCTTTCATTATTTCATTCAGAAAAGCATTTCTGTTTTTAAGGGCTATAAGGACAGAACTACGGCCACGCAGGCTGATGTGCCACTGCCATTAAAGTCGGCTGCACTGCCGAACTCAGAGGAGACGCCGCATTTCTACCCTTCTCCCTACACCTTTCAAAGAAACGCACATTCCAAACCTCACCAGAGCCACACACGAGTGCTATTAATAAAGAACACTATTTCGATATTTTTTTTTCATTTCCCGAAAAGGGAAAGACAAAACCTCAACAAGACTCAAGCACAAGAGCCGAGACCGGGGGTAGAAGAGCGAACACTCAAGTGTAATTTATGAGCTCTGCATCAGCACGAACTCGGACATGTGGCACCGCCGCCGTATTCCCTTGCACCAGCAGTATGCTCGCTGCATACTAATGCGCCGCACATCCCCAGACACAGCGGAGCCAGGACCGCACGCCCCCCCCCGCCCCACGGGACACACCTGCGCGCACCGCCAGCCCCGCCGCCGCTTTTCCAGGCCCGGCGGCTGCGGGAGCCCGCGGGGCCCGGCCGGGCCCCACCGAGCAAACTTCGCGCGGCCCCCGCGCCGCCGGCCCCGCCGCCAGCGCCGGGAGGGAGAGCGGCGGGGGCGGCCCGGCCGGG